TCCTATCAGTTTCCTGAAAAATTTGCACTTGGGAAAAAGACCCAGATTACCACTGAGAAAAAGCTGCAGAGTTCAGGTTCCCTCCTCCATCTATCGTAGCAGCTTACCAACCGTGCACACGCACTGATCATCTAGCCAAGCAGTAATGCCTCAAGACTAGTCACATCACACACTGTATCTCACCAATACAGTAGTTAGGGGACACTAGCCGAAGGGGAGAGTACTGACAAGGAGGAAATAGAAAAAGGTTGGGGACACACTACACAGGAAAATAAGGTTTGATTAATTCCACCACTCATGCCGTAACTTGCTCTGTGTCTTTTTGGTTTTTTTTTTTTTAATTAAAGTGAAATACAATTCAGATTTAGAGATGAACATTGCACACTGAAGAGACAGTTAAACTATTACTCTTTACATAATATACTTTTTAAAATTTATTTTTTACTCTTTTAGAACTAGATTTACCAAGGTAGAATGTTGCTACCCTATTACCCTATACTATTTTCTACTGTAATTTTTTTCTTCCCTATGATCTCCGATCCAGGTGATTCAGAAGGCCCACTAGAGGATGCTGAGGACCCTCCATTGCCATCATTATGAGATGGGATTTAGGCTGTAGTTGTGAGTTCCAAAACCTAATGAAATTCAGTCATAGTACATGACCGTTTAGGGAAGGAAAAATACAATTTCCTGAACAGAAACAAGCATGAGAACCACAGGCAAGCTGGACGAGACTTGTGTTTTTTGCTAATGCAAAATACTCATTACTGCACTTACAGCAAGGAGAGTTAATCCCAAAGGGCAGGACTGCCTAATCCCTGCAAGAAGATAGTAACAGCACTGAAATTCAACACTGATCTGTCTTTTCAAGTGCAGTGACTTTGTTAAGAATACTGAATTAGCTGCCAGGCTAAGCCAACAATTTGACTGTATCAGACTAGAATGAATTGCTCAGTTCTGACCAGTTATATGCACCTTTAAAACTCCACTCATAAAAGCTGCATAATAAAGCTCAGAAATACAAACTCAAGCTAATGAATGCTGTCAAATTACTAACTTAGTGAACGGACACAAAGTCAGTAAATGTAATTCAAAGCAGCAGCTCCTCAGAGAGAACGCTGTACTTAGCATTTCTGATGCACTGCCCTACAAACCACCAGTCTCTCCAAAACATTCATAAAACTATAGCATGTTCCTACTTACAAACCCTAAGTGATTAAGTGATCGTTAAGTGATCCCTGAAATTAAATTTAAATCACATATTTTTGCAATTTAAAGCATCATTGACAACAGAGGAAGAAAGGAAAGCAATGCAGCTATTTGTCAAGCAAAAACACTGAGGAAACCTTCAGTGGTCATTTTCCATTCCCATCAAACTACTCATCAAAATGTCTTCTTTTTGGATTCATTTTCTACTCCCCCTTGTCTGGGTTTGACGCAAAATGAAAAAAGTTTCAAGAAAAACTGGCACTTGTGAAACGTATTTTTGTGTGTGTCTTCAGGACATCAAGTCACAACTACTTTTTCTCAGCCAAAGCCAACTGTTTTTCAGATTGTGAATGTCATCTATTTACACCATTTAAGGACTAATTATCTTACTCTTGAAAGGATTCTTCCTAGAACAGAGCGAGCCTTTTAGAAATCCCAACATCAATGCCATTTAGACCCCACCACATGGTGTCCTCTCCTACTGCTTGATTGCCGTACACCACACTGTTCAGAGAAAGAGCCTTAGAGTACTCCTAAGGAGTTATATACGAAATTAAATCTCTATTTATAATTTATATTGTTTCTTTACTTTTTCAATCTTGAATGAAAACAATTGATGTTAAGAGTTACAACAGAACCCAGGTCAGCTATAGGTCCAGTGCTATTTTAAGAACAGACTTTGCCAGAGATGTACTCCCCCACTAGCTGAGAGGGAGTGTGCATCGCTCATGCCAACAGAGAGGGTGGGCTGCTTCAAGAGCATCTTAAAACAGAAAAACAAATCAGGTAAAGATATCACCTAAGTCCCTCCTTAGCTATAAAAGTATCTAGGATTCTTCCTGCCATGTCTCTTCTGAAACAGAGGGACCTTCAAAGCTCAAATCCTTCTCTTATATTTTTGTAACCCGGTTAGGGTTTCACATATGTGCCCTCAGCTGAACTAGCTGAGCCACAATCCAGATTTTATGCTACCCATGATATGAGAAAAGTCAGACTGTGACAAATCTTTTTTATTTAAACAAACAAAAAATTATGAAAAAAACAGGAATAGTCAAGTTTTAAAATATACACAAGCAAGGATCGTTGATGCTCCTATAGAGACTTGAACTGGATCAGAAAATCAAATCTATATATGAAATGGCCAAAACTTGCTTTGACTGGTGAATTTAAATGGAACAGAATGGATGTTCCAATACTTCTTGCCTATTTGTAACCACGTAGCACGGTACGGGATAACAGAAAAAACCTGGCTGGCAGGAAAAACTTACAATGACATCTGTAACTCTGAGAAACTATAATCTGTGAGTCTTCTGCTTTTTCAGAATCCTAAAACTGGGAAGTAAGTATAGTCAGACGAAACAAGAGTGGAAACCGGCTGACACTGTGCTTCAGTCAGAGCCTCAGCTGTTACCCAGGGCCGCCTTCCTGCTGCTTCTCCCTTTCTCTTGCAGTATTTTTTACTGTCAGCTTCTCATTTTGCCTTCCTATAGTTTTTCTCCTGCTGCTTTTAATCTAGTGAGACTAACTCTGCTGGCCCCAGTAGCTTCACTTAAGAGAGTTACTCTCAAGCTGAAGCCAGACAGCAGATAAAAGTGACTTCATAAATAGCTCTGCACTAGTATAAGTTTGCCAGACTTCAAAGTAGCTGATAAGACCATGTGCTCAGTCTCTCTTTCTGCAGCAACTATGCTGCAAATAAAAATTAGTACCACTACTATCAATATCTCTTTCTAGGCCAGAGAAACTGGTATTCTCTATACAAAACATCCCAAAACAGAGGCAGCCAAACCAGTGGACATTTGAAATATGTCTTCTGTGTCTTGCCCAAAGTCACAGAGGCACCTCTTTTTGCCCTGATTATACTTAGCTGTAACTTGAACATAAGAAAGAAGAATGACTGGTTAACCAACAAGCTGAGGTCTACTGCAATTAATGCTGTCACCTGCTGATGGCCGATGACATAAAGGAGCTTTCACAACACCGCTGAAGCAGTTTAAGAGCTCAGTTGCTGAATGGGGCAGTTATGCTCCAGTGTTGTCTTCTGTAGCTTCCTGGCTTTGGCCTTGTGTTTTTCTCTGACCTTTTGGTGAGCTGACTGAGTTCAGTAATATAGCAGAAAACTAATCAAAAAAATTAAAAAGTGAATGTATTTCTGCTGCTTTAAGGGAGCTGAGGTTAGTGAGGGCCAGAAGAATGCTGGCAGAAAGGAAAGAGAGGGATCAGGCAGAGAGGAAGAAAACCCCCAGGGAGAGGGAGCAGAACTGTCCTTTTTAGTAGCAAGCCATTATAATATTGCCTGAACCACCTTGTAAAAGCTCATTGTGAGCACGGAGCATCTTGGAAGACAGTTTGATAAAATTAGAAGCAACAATAAAAAGATCTCTTGATAGTACTAATACTGCAGAATTCTGTAAGGATACAGTTACAAATTATCATTTGCATCTCATGGCTGAAAAATGACTATGTTTAACTGAAATCAGACAAAAGAGTAAATCTTAAAAGAAAAGTCACAACAAAATATAACCATTCCGAAGTTGTGAACGCTGTGAAGCAATCGGGCTCACATAGTTGATTTTACCATGGAAAAGTTATTTGGGGGAAGAAGAAGGGAAGCAGCCTGTACTGCTGTTGACATTAGTAGCTTTCTCTTTTCAGAGGGAGGATAGAAGAGAGAGAGCAAAAATATTAAAGAATCAACAAGAAAGGAGGAACTACAAAATGAGGAGAAAAAGAAAGACTGCTCATGTTGAAGCAATTACTTTTTTAATGCGTGTACAATCTGAATTACTATAAATTGTCAAATTTAATTCTACCAAGGAGCTAACTTTGGCTTATAACAACAGTAAATACAAGCAGTGACTTTGTTTCTTCTGTGTCATAAAGAGCGAGAGTTAAATCTGAACAGCAATATGAAGGATATTCAGGCAAACATTCTCTCAGCTATCTGCTTTTCAGATTTCCGGTGTACTAAACTTCACAGAATAAAGAACTATTGGGTGGAACTATTGTGTATGATAAGTTGTCTAGAAAAAATACAGTGGGTTCTGTAAGTTTAAAAATATTTTGAATATCTCTGCTGGAGTCAAATAAAATGATAACACAAATTTTCACCTATGAAATACTAAGTCATTGAAGAGTGCCCTGTTCCTAATTATAATTCAACAAGAGGCTGATCAAGAATACATGAAATTAGTAAGAGTGACTCCTATTAACTTCACCTGGTTTTAGATAGAAATCCAAGAAAGACTTTTACCAGATTGTCATAGGGCCAGCTCTAGCAGAGACTGAGTTCTTGTTTTACTTTATGATTAAACCAAGTATGTTTTGGGGAGAGCTCAGATGAACTCGCACACTGAAACTTCGTGACTGCTGGCATTTAACCTGTTTTTAACCACCTTTTCATCCTTTTTAAAAAAGACTTGTGTGTGTGAGAAATGATCATTCATCTATCCTTTAATATAACTGGCAAATATGCTTTTATACTAACTCTTTGCTTACTACCTACCATGGAGATAGTATCTTTTTCCACTGTAGTCATGGCAAAAACTTACCAACTTTGGTCAGAATGAAACAGTTATTAAAAATTTACTTGGAGAACGTGACATTTACTTTAGAATAAGCATGTAAGAATAAAGAACAAACAAAAGCTCAACAAAGATTTCTTTGCAAAGGGACACTTACCAGGCTGAGATGGTCTCACAGCTTCTGGAGCTCTATGGAAAATTCAGTTTTCCCTGAAGAAAACCACATCTAAGAGAATTTGGGGAAATACCAAAATTTCAAGCACTCACCTTTTTCGCTGCTACTTGTTGGTGTTGAAGGGGGAATTCCAGGCTTAGATTTGTCATAATTGTTAAAGCTCTGGCTGCGTCGATTGTTGGCACTAATAGAACCACGAGTTTTGGCCTCACTGCCTGCAGCGGACACCCTCATGGTAGGGCCTGGAAGTCTGATGAAATAAATCACAGTCAGATGAAATACATTTAAACAAAAAGGCACCCTGGGAAAGGAAAGAAACTACAGAATATCATGCATAATCTGAAAATAAAAGGATAAACACCACAAATATTTGCATACAAGGTTTTATAAGGAACTTTAAACAGCCGCAATACATCATCCTAGGTAAAAAATATACAGTGAACAAGCTACAGTATGAACTGTTCTACATCAAGGGAAAGAAAAAAAAAACTCTCAAGTTGGATACTTCAGTAGCTTTCATGTGATTTTTCAGCTCAAAAAAAAATTCAGGATCCAGTTCTGAAACTTCTGCTTAAGTTGACTAATAGTGGACTTGGCAAACAGGCTAATTGTTTCTAATGGACTAAACACATAATACTCTAGACGGCCTAAACTGAGTAAAAGTGATACAACAGACCCTCCCTCCAAACATTTTTCTTTTCCAGTGATCATTAATGGTCTCCTACCATAAATCTTGTAAATCAGAAACAGTTGCAGTAAATTCAGAGTAACACCACTTGCAAAACTGGTACAAGGTTACAACTAAATGAGACTACTGTTCTCAGACCAGGATGCTGAACAGAGCTCTGCTTAATTTGGAAACAAAAGTGAGAAAGAATATGGCCGCCAGCTTAATAACCTGGCTTTTCCTTGTAGGGAAGCACATTACATCTGCGCTCGGAAAGCTGCAAAGCCTAGCAGCCAATCCCTGGGAAAGATTGACTCGGGCCTATAAAACCATACAGGGCTCAAGTTTCCTCTCCTACTCTCTTAGCACAACCACTTTATCAACGAGCAGGTAGTAAGCCTCAGGGTCAACTGAAAGAGGATGGCAGCAAGCTGTTTCAGGGAGGGATTTTCAAACATTGATTGCCTTTCCTTATTGTAGTCTATATTTACTAGTTATATCTGTTTACTTACAGAAAACATAGTTAGGGTTCTGGCATAAGTAAACAGGAAGGCATGCTTCTCTTGTGCTTGGCAGGCAAAAGGAGAGGGGGAAGAATTTTCTAAAAAGCCTGACAGAATTAGGGAAGCAGCCGGCATCACATTTCAGAGCAAGAGGTGTGCTTAAGTCTGTCAAAGTCAACGCTTATACGTAGAGTTTTAATGTTTGCACTGTATTTTCTGCGCTAAGGAGCGCAGAGATTTCTATATTCCAAATACATGAAACACAAAAAATTTAAACAGTTGTTAGTTCTTCAAAACACACACTGAAGATAGAGAAACAGCTCACAGTTTTAAAAAGCGTTGACATTGCATTAAAGACTAGAAGAATCAGTTCACATCATATTCCGTAACACTGAAAGGGAAAACTCTTTGCTGTCTCTGTATTTTCAGTATGGTAGAAGCACTTTAAAACATTTTTTCATACAAAATATAAAATCAGTGTGTCTTAAACAGCCTCTGCCAAGAGTGGCTAACATGAAGACATCCCTGTTGTCAGAAAACCAGGGGATGCAATAGACCAAATCACTTCAATGCCTGGGGGAAGGAAGAGCAGCCGGGAAGGCCGTCCAGCAACGCTTCCCAAATCAACTGTGACTTCTCAAAAACTAGTGAAGGAACAGGAAATATGAAAAGAAACATGAAGGAAAACAGCAAGAACGTCAGCAGCTGCATGCACATGCTTTCAGAGCTCAAAGTAGGATAAATTGTATAGGCATCATTCAAAGCAGAACAAAAAATTCATTTATAAATGCAAATCACCGCAGATTTGGCACAGCACGCCATGGTTCTGAGGTTTATTTTGCGGAACCCTTTTAGACAAACCCCTCAATTTATCCAACATTTTTGAAGATGAACAACCTTTCCCGACACTGGGGGGTGCTAGAAAATTGTACGTAATGATCATTGCAGGAAAGTGAAAAATGAGAATTCCCCAGAGATACTTTACCGCTGTAAAGGAGACTACGGAGGAAGAAGCAGGAGTAAAGTAGGGAAAAAAATCAAATGCTCTTCGTAACAACTGTCGTGCTGTTCTTGAGAACTTGGAAGTCGTCAAGACAAGAAAGCTCATGAAGCGTTTATTTTGCTTAACAGGCAATGAACTAGGTTTATTTAGACGTAGGAAGAAAGCACAAGACATCCAGTTGAAAGTCTCCATAGAAGGATAAAAATTGTTCTGAATATGGGCCGGCTGCTGCAGCACGGCTACGAGAGCACCTAGTACTGGGAGGGCAATTTTCTCATAGGGCTTGGCATCAGGCGAGGGATGGGGATCTTGCGCTCATAGGTGAGAACAGGCTCCCCACACATGCACACACAGGTTTGGCAAATCTCGTACACTTTCAGGTAAATAAAGCTACTCAGACCATGTGACCAGCTCAGAAAGTGACAAGTTTTAAATTCAGTCAGTATTGCCACTGCTGATAAAAACGTACCCGGAATAAAAATATACATACTGGCAAACACTCCTGAAGAAGATACCATTCCTCTTACATTTTTTTTACTCTAATTTGACTGCCTGATTCTGTTTTAAGCCCACGCTTTTGGTAGTCGGCCAAGATATTTCACAGCAGTGTCTGTGAAATCCAAGAAAAATCGGGGAGTTCAGGGAGAAGCTTCTAGCTCCTTGCTATTAGAGCCACCCTACTGAACTTCGAGGATACTCTCCATTACTACTCTTCAGCACCATTTCTAGGAAAATATGAACTGTCAGGCCATAAGCGTGATTAAGAGAGAACATGAAAAGGAAACATGGAGCATTAAAAGAGAGGTTACAGTGCAGACCTTCCCTGTTGTCATATAAGAAATAAGATGGGGGAAACAAATCCAAATTATAAAGCCGTACTAACATTCTATGCAAAGGGGGACAGCTGGCCAAGTAGTTCACAAGTTGGATAAAAACGGCAAATAATACTTCACAAGCTTAGTAAAATGGCAAATAACAGCTTAGTAACTGATGTAGAACTATACAAAAACCCTAGTGAAATATTTTTACATATAGTAGTAAATAAGTAGTAAAAGGAAACTTACGATCAATAACTGCATTAATAACGCTTATAGCAACCCCTGTAAGTGCTGAGATGAGATGGTCATAGAGGTTGGCATGCAAATAAGGCTGGATTTCAGGAAAAATAGACTGAAATATAATTTTCAGGGAGTTCAGATGTTCTCAGCTCCATAAAACTGGGGAGGGCAGGAGCTTTGATGAGACATACCCATAGGGTGCTGTTTTGCCTCACATGGTGCATGTCCCACTTGCCAGCCCAGAAAGCACTAGCCTGACGCTAGCACTTACAATTATGCACATCTAAATATGACAAATACACATATGTATAGCGGAGAGAGAACTCCCAGAACCATGTTTTGTTCTCAAAAGGGAATGCTCATATGGACACCGAAATCAAATATCTTCTTGCTAGCAGAAAACGCATTCCACGCCTTGAAAAAAGAAAACAAGTTAAAATGGGTCTGACACTTCCATGTTTTAGCTGTTTGTAAAATTCCGAGTTACAAACAAGGAGGTAAATATTTTTAAGGTGAACCCTAAACATGCATCTGGAAATATTGCAAAAAAAGGGTTATTCATGCTTTGCAGAGGATGAAGAAATGCTAACCTAGAAGACTTTTTCTGACCAAGAGTGAATCTGATGATTTTGCTTTGAGATGAGTCCCTGGGAGATGCACTGTATGACAGGAAAGAAAAAGCGGAAGATAACAGTGAGCAAAGAAGAAATTTGTTTTTTTTAAGCCACTGAACTTAATTACTAGTTTAGGGAGGAGAAGGTTTTTTTCTTTTTTTCTTTTTTTTCCTCTTAACATATTTTACAAGAAGAAAAGCTTCTTCCCTAAGTATAACTTCCAGTCAAAACTGTATAAAATCTGAAATGAATTAATTTTTATAAAATAATGTAGGTGCAATTCTACATCCAAAATCAAATTTGGATGTAAAATCAAATTTATTACTCGGTTTCTTATCTATCTTTTATTGCATATGACTCAGCAGATTTTGAGCAATTTCAGAATTCAGTATATTCTATGAAAACATTATGACATTTCTTCAGCATCTTCAAATATTTGTAAGTTATTTGAAACCCAGTCCAATCCATACAATAGACTGCAAGTACGAAAGTAATATTCAAATGAATCAATGCACTTCTGTTACACAAAGAAGTCCCAGAAATTTGTTCTTAAAGTTCATCTTTGTTTTACAGTAATTAGTCCCTGCAGAAGTCATTACATAGTAGCAACACTAGCTATCTTCAATCATACAAAAACATGTGTTCCACTGAAAATGAACATAATCTACGAAGAAACACATAAGGAAAAACCAAACAAGCTTTGAGAAACGTCTCAATTGGAGGGCCTCACTTTAAGAGTTCATACTCCAAGTAAAGCAGTGTTTCAAGTAGTGTTCACCTTAATCTGTACTCTTTTAACACAAATAAGCCGTAACTTAATTTGTGTTATGTAAACAAATAAGCCTTCGTACCTTAGCAAACGTGCATATATGATTTCAGCATTGAATCCTGCCTACTTATTCCCACTGAAATCCCCATCTCTTACCAGTAAAACAGTCCGATAAGCAGAACGCTATAAGAATAAATGCATGCACAGTGGTACAGCCTTCACAAATTGCTTTAATCCCCAACTTGGAAAGAGCACCTTCAGGATTAAAGGCATTCAAGGCACGTATCTCTCCTCCATTACCTATATTATGTTCCAGGAGTGTCAGCAAATGCCAGCTGCAAAATTATTTTTCATGTAAGCCAGCAGCTTATTATTTTTGACCAACAAAGCTAAATTTGATTTTGACTGTCGCCAACAGCGATAAACTCTATTTCTTTTAGCAGTCCCAGACCCTTCCATTCCTCAGTGAGGACTGACTGTCCTTGTAAACGGAAAAGTTATTTTTTCACATGTCCAAGGTACATATACATCATACTAGCAAGGATGTATGTGCTTTGCTAGTATAAAGAAGCAAAAGGGATTCTGAAAAAAATTTCCTTAGAATAAACTGTGGTTATTCTGTCTAGCAGGCATTTTATGCCCATAGAACTGAATATTTCTAGCACTGGGAACATATTTCAGTACATCTGTTTTGCTTTCCAAAGGTATGAAGTCAGTTGCTACCCAGCATTCAACATGTGACACATCTTCTATTGTCAAGCAGAACAAAAGAAAGAAGCCTCTTTGGCTTCTGAAGACATTTAACAAGAAGAAAGAAAAATGGTGAAAAAAACAACTTCAAAGAAATTTCCCCACCTTGACTGCATTTCTGGTTGTGCTTTTAAGTGATGCTGTGCAGCTTGCTGGGGCTGTTGGCACTGTGCTGGGAGCGAAGCTGGCACCTGCTGCTGCTGTAGCCCGACCTGGCACTGAGCTGGAGGCCCTGCTTGCTGGGATACTGTGGGAGGTTGCTGGGATGGATGGTGTTGTGCTTGCTGTTTCTGTGGCTGCTGCTGCTGTTGCTTGTATCGAGACAAACTGAAGAAAAGGCCCAAGATGGCCTTCAGATTGCCATTCCTGATTTCTGTAAGGCAATTTTCAGAAGTCACTCATCAACCACTAGTTGTTGTCTCTTTCTGACAGTACAGTGGGTCGGCCACTGTGCTGTTCGTAGTAGTGTCTGAACTCAATTCCTTTAGGCTATGACAGGCTTTCTGCAAATCTAATCAGTATTAGAGCTGATCAGCAGTGAGCACCAACCACAAACAAATAATTTCTCCACTGCAGTGACTGCAGAGGATGTCTTCCATTTCTGCTGTGTTCTGTCTGCTAATGCTAGTGTGCTTAAATAGACAGTTCCTTTAAATAGTTCCTTTAATTTAAAGTAACCAAAAAACCCCCACAACAACAAATATATTAACATCACAGTGTAAATGATTTCACGGTCCTAAATTTGCATGAGGAGGAGAAATTGCTTGGTTATCACAACCATCGTATCATTTCCCGTATATCAGACTAATTGTTTCCATTATGAAAATCTGATGCAAGTTTTGCAAATAGAAAAGCTGAGTACTGTGTGAAATTCCTGTATTAAAGCAGATAATTACCGGTGTAAATCATCACAAGGTAATAAAGAATGGATATACCCAATGTACCTAAAGGTAACTTGACAGTGAATGTATATATTTTTTAATTCTTAAAAGTCTTCCTGTTTGCAATATCAAAAACAAAAACTTAAGAACAAATGAAAACACAGCAATACAAAACAAGTACGAGAGCATGCAGTTAACAACTGTATCAAAATGCATAAACATGAGGGCCAGTTCAGCGTTTCAGATAATTTTAATAATATGGTGTGATAAATCATTTATCATGTTTAATTTCCTAAATTTAAGAAGTAAGTTGCATAAATCACTGATATTAAACAGCTTAATTTTTGCACAAGTTCTATACAGCATTTGAGCTAATAAAACTTACTGTTGCTCCATGCTTTCCAATATCTCTACATGGATCAGTGCAAGAGGGGGATGAGGAGCAAACATGGCAAGACAGTGGCCAAGCACAAGGGTGAAAATCAGAATCTGATTTACTTCTGTTCCCAATTCTGGATGAAGGCTTGCTTTGACTTTGCAAGAGCCCTGTTGTATCCTTTATTCCCTCTCTCGGTCACCTTTCTCCTCGTATTGGTCACCTTTGTTGCCTTATACATTTTTGATCTTAACCCCAAGCCAGCAAATCCTAGGCTCACATCTTAAAATTTTGCTCCCCTTTCTATACTAACTTCCAGCTTTGATCTCCTTGTCTAACTACCCCTCGATCCACCTTTCCTTCCTAGCCACTAATCTAATTTACTGTCCTCCTTAATTTCGTTTCAGCCTATGCTCCACTTCTCAGTGACTTATACACTATATCTCAGTGGTCCAGGTAATTACCCAAGCCCAGGATATTCCTTTCCTCTGCTGCTCCTTGGCTTAATCTCCTTTCTCTTGTCTTCTTTCCTGCAATTTGACCCCTTCACCAGTGCTTTTTCTCACCACTGTCCTCATGCCCTCATTTGAATGGTTCTCAGTCCCAGGGCCCTTGATCAGTCACTCTCTCTTCCTTTGTTTTCTTAGCCAATTTCAGTCTCTTCCTGGCCAGTGAAACCTGTCTGTTCTCCTTTTCCCAGTCTGCCCCTGCTCCCACGCATGTCATGCCACAAACCCAGTCTCCTGCTGCTTCCATGACCATCTAAATTAGGCAGTTTCCTTGTCTGATCTACCTGTGTTTAGTTAGGGAGGACAGGTGATGGAAGTAGACAGTAAAATAAAATAGGCAATGGAGACAGTAAAAAGGATCTCCCTATCTTCAGTAGAGAACCATAATTATTCATAGCAATTGTAAGGAAAGTACCACTTAGTCACAAGCTGGAGCATAACTAAACATTCCCAGGGGCACTGGGAAGCTTTACTGCAAAATACAGGCCAGAAAGAAAAAAGAAAAAAAAATCCATGAATCTACACACTTAAACTTTACATGCAATTGGAAACAAGGACTTGCTTTCAATGTGAAGTGAGAGGCAATCGTAAAAATAGCCCCACCTAAAACTCGTTGCTTTCTATAACTGTGTGTGTCCTGCTGTATTTATCACAAGAGAAGCCTGCTTTCGACATTTTTCTAGGGTGACAAAAAATAACGATTAAAAGAAAAATTCCTTTAATGAGTTTCAAAAGTAGCATCTTTCCCTGTAGGTTTTAAGTGAAATATGTCAAATCGTACTTTTAGAAACGGTTCTGTTTCTCTTATCTTAAAGATAGACTGAGGTAATTCACCTGGCAGTTTGCCCCTGCACTTTGTACAAAGAGAGTACTTCAACCTCATTACACTCTACTAATTAGTATAGTCTGAATTGCTTCCTGCTTTAGGTCCCCTCTTGTCCACGTGTCAGCCTAAACATGCATATTAACTTAGATAATGATGGACATGTAACCCACTCATTTTAAACTTGGAGCCCCAAAAGACTGATTTTTGTACATTTGAAACAAACACTCCAGATGTTTCAGAGGAAACTGGAATTTAGTTTTAAGAGAACACATCCAAATCCACCGACTGGAAATCTCCATACTAGAACATCTTGCCTGCTACTTGTTTATGCCCACAGCTGCAACTCTACCTTTACAGGTTGCCTGTTATCCTTTTCTTTAGCCACAAAAATACACTAGACTCGGTGGAAATTGGGTGGGGAGGGAGGAAGAAAAGGCAAAGAAAAGAAAGGTCTTTTAGATAGATTACTGCAGAAATGTCATTATCTGATTTTTCTAACACTAACAAATGAAGTATCTTGACTTGCAAAATACGCAAATCACGAACTATTTATTGAATATGAAATACAGAACAAAGCAAATCAACAAGAAGAAAAAGCATCTATTACTGCTGTTCAGTCAAGAGCTTATTTTATGTCTGATTCTGTGAAGCTCGTGGCACTAAGAACGGAACAAGTTTACAATGACTGGAGTTAGCCAAATTGTCTAGCAGGAGTACAAATTGGGAATCACTGCATACTCATTAACTTGCATCTATCCTGACAGAAAAGGGGGCTCTCATCTATACGTATTATTTGTCCCTGGAAATAGTGGATATCTGCTTCTGTTGCTTTGCACAAGCCTTTTCCGGTTGACCACAGAGGGACTGTGCAGGCAGCACCAACCAACCCTTCCTTGTTCATGTAACAGGGGAGAGAAGATGGTCTGCTAGAGAAAACAAAATGAAAAAGCTGAAAATTCTGTCCACAGGGAATGATGGTAGGGGAGAGAAAGGACCAAATTCAGACATATAGGTCTAAATTTGAAACAAAATTTTGAGAAGCAGGTTTCCTAGCTAATCCAGGATATACTATGAAGCGTGAAGAGAGTCAGCTTCAGTCAGCCCATGCTCTATGCTGATCGACTTTAAGCTGACTTCAGGGATCAAAAACTACCAAAACAGCCCTGGGACAAACTTTGTAGACTCTACTGTGGAATCTGATCTGATTTCCAACAATACCTGGAGTTTTGTAACAACTGAGGTAAGGAAACGCATGGAAGAATTTATTATTTTTCCCTAGATCTGCATGTGTGTTTCAATAGTTTAAAGACTAATTTTTTTGAAAAGTGTACATAAATGTGTGCTTTTGCTGTGAGGGGCTCTTGAGGAGGGGGCAGATTGCACCTCAGAGTGCTCACAAAGTGGAATTCTGGAAAAAGAAATTCCAGTAAAAGCTTGACAGTAGAAGGTGGCAGATCAGGGACTATCCAGATCCTATTTCCATAACAGCCCAAACCCAGAAAGCCTGTACAGAATGCCGGCAGAGAGGCCAACAAAACAGAAAACTAACCAGACCAAAGGCATCTTAGCAATACACAGGCTCAGCACGGTAGAACCAAAATTTGGCAACATGGTAAGCATCCTACTCCGGTTATGTTTAAAGTAGCATTGTGGGATATTTGTGCTGCAGAAAAAAAAATCTGCCTTGACACTGCTAAGGAAAAGAACTAAAATGGATTACTTGCTCTACCTGCAGAGTACGTACACTGAAATTCATTTATCTGTAAAACCATGAGTTTCATTTCAGAGGAAAAGTCTAAGTTCAGTGGTGGTTGTTCCAAAGTCTAGCAAGATGTTTCCTTTCATCACTTCATGGTTTCATGATTTGCTCAGCTGATCGCTATCCAGCTAATCTGTTACATGGAGGAGGTGCAGCTGCTATCGTGAAGACAATTTGAGTTTCTATTGCACATTTTGTTCTCCATAATCTTCAAAATCTTGGCAGAGAGGCAATGCTGTGTGAAGGATGGAAAGATAACTGGAGAGCCGCAATTGCAAGAGTCTAAGACATGGCTCTATATGGGAACAAAGAAGAACGTGGGTACAGGCATTCAGCTCAGAGGGATGGACAACAAAAACAACTGCAGCAAAAAGAGGAGAAAAGAGTTCTCCAGCATCTCCACCAATTTTTCTTCAGTAATTACAAACGGAGACTTTAGGATTTAAAGTCTTTGAGCTGGGAGTGCCTTTTTGGCTCCATGTTGCTGTGATAGAAGGGCCTGTCTGTAGCATAGTATGGTCATCATCAGCGATTGCAGTTTCTTAGCATTTTCACCATATTAATTCAGAAAAAATACTCTTGTCTATGTGGCACCCATATAATTGAAACAATTTTTTAACACTTGCAGGATATTAAACATGTAGTCTAAAATTATTTCCATATTCAGGAGTCATCCAAATTCCTGTTTTGAATCATTATCAACATTCCTCCCTACTAAAGCTGCACTACTGTAAAATACACATTCTCAAGCAACTCAGGAAAGGCTTCACAATTTATTTCTATTTGGAAGCAATCAGAATCTTCTGCTTCCTCCTAGATGAAGATCTGCCTGTGGGGTAAACAAAATTACTTGCAGTTGACGCAGCAGGTCTTGGCAGCTTGTGTAGAAACACTGGCTTCTTTGGTTATGGCACTGTTTATTTTAAGTGCCTCTGTGTTCTCTCTTGCTCAGTTTTGCCTCCTTCCTCAACACAGTTAAGGACTGTCTCTCAGAACAGAAATTTAATTTATTGTTGAAATCAAGTGTTATAACTTCATTTTATAAAAAATGTTCCTTCACTCTCCCCTCCTTACTTGTCACTCTTTTCCTTTAATGTTAGTGATTGGGCCAAAAAATGTTCTTCATTTATCGACTGGCAGCAAACATTACTGGTTTCTTTTTACCTTCCATATAACTTAACATGTTAGTTCCTACAAAGAGCAAAATGTGATAGTGTAAAAGAAAGAAAGAAATAAAAAATTAGCAGAAGCCATTGGATAGCCTATGACCTGCTGAGATGGACTTGTGATTTGGCAGGAGAGCAATGACCATTAAACATGTTGTCCCTTCCCCAGTGTGAACACTACTCTGCCAGCTTAGCACACTGAGAGTTTTTTCTTCCGAACTAATTTGCTGCCTGGCTTAGATTTTGCATTGTATTCAGATAGGTACATAAGGGGAAATGTATTTCATTTCAACAGTACTTACCTATCATATCAAGCCTTTTACTATAAACTACGATTTGCATTTTCTGTTTACTCATTTCCTGGTAAAACCTTCCATGGTCAGAAGCTTTAATTCATACTCTTTTTCCTTGACATAGGAGCCTTTCCAATTACAATAGAGCTATCTAGGTAGGTAACGTAGGCAGTACTTGGGCCGACTACATTAAAGCTTCTCTTTGGAAGAAAAGAAAAAAATCTGTTACTGGCGTTCTAACCCAGCTCAAGGATATACCACGGAAAAGGTCTGTTAACATTCAACCAGCTGTTCTCCTATCAGCTGTGGTAACATCAAGTTATAACAATATATATTAAATATCTGCTGCTTTGCATTCCACACTTATAAACTGTCACAAACTTAGTAAAAATACATTTAAAGTAGACATGTTAAAGCAGCACGTAAATCCTCACAGACCTCGTAAGACAAAGTAGGGGGCATTCTTTAGAGGACAACAAGGAATTCTTTAAGGTGCTTTCCAAGATGCAAAAATGTAATTTTTAGTTGCAGTTTTAAACAAGTTTTAAATTTTTAACAATAGATTTACTTTTACAGTAATTTTATAAATATTAAATTTGCAGGTTTTGTAATAATTTTTAAACATAATGTAATGCATAAAATTTGTGTGCACAATGGTTTCTCCAGACAGTTCATCCACTGTGGAGTATCTAGAGCACATTTCATATATACCATTCACTGCCAATATGGGAAACTGTTTCAGCTAAGACTTGAAATCATAATTAGAAAGCATATACCTCACAAACCAGCTTAATAAAGAAGAAAGGAAGAGAACATAAAATGCAATCAAGAGAAAATAATAAACTGAATAGAATAATATTACATTTAAATTTAACTCTAGTGCAATTGTTTTCAACCTCTTGAAAATCCATTCTGTCAAACAAATGTGGAAGTATCAATGTGTGAGCAGCAAACTGACTATAAAAACGGTTCAATGTAAACAGGATTTTTGTTAAAGATAATGCAGCGTTACTACCTTTTATTTACAATTTCGGGGTGCAAAAAAGCATTATTGAATAAAAAACTTTATACCATAAGGGGAATTCCTTCCTTCAGCATCCAGCAAATGCAAAGTACTTGCCATATGCATAACACAGGTATGTGTGGCAACATCAAGTAACTAAAATAGGAGACTGAACACTCAGGCTCCTGACTCCTACGCACCGTTCTCGGGAATGCTCACAGTCATGCAGGGGAGGTGCAGTCGAGGCCAAGAGAAAAAGTTTTCCTTCTCACGAAAGAAGACTCACTGATCTTTCTGAAACTCTGTAGATTTACATGATCTGTAAGACCCCCACCTACATCCTTCTTTCTTTTTCTTTTTCTTTTTTTTAAAGGGGCAAGGCTGCTATAGCTATGACTGAATAAGAATATAGGCAGGGCAAGATAGGGAGAAGATCAGACTACTCAGAAAAATTAAAGAAAACAAATTCTTGCCTACACAAAACAATGAGGACACAGAAGTCCTCACTGGCCTCTGAATATAGAATTTTGTTTATTTTTTCCATGTATACTAGCTATTCCAATATAATGCATTACCCCCCTTTCACATCTTTTCTTGCCTTCTTTATTTAGGTAACAGAATTCTTTCAGAGGAAGGAACCATGGCTTTAAATATACTGGCAAGTAAGTTATTCACACACAAGTAAAAGCCATGTGCATGACTTGACAACATAACCTACTCTGCAAAACTGAGTTTGCAAAGAGATTTAGCCACCACATCTAACAAAGTCCCACCTTATGTCGCACATCCAATTCTTTGTTCTGTGAAATACAGAAAAAAAGGAGGTATAATATAATATACTCAAAGTTTGCTTTAAGAGCTACTGAACACAATTGCTTTTCCAGCATACTTAAATGAAAGTATAGGTGAAAGCCGATGCTGAGAATTACAGACCTCAGTTTGATCGTTTTACAGGACAGTAGATGAAAAGCTTCTCAATCAATGGATACTACACATTCTGATACATGCCACTCACTGGCATAAAGGAATATAGTACGCTGAGTCACGATTGGGTCCTTAAGAAACTGTGATGGTCTTCGTAAGCAGTGTTTAACTGGAGCTCAGAAATTTGTTTTTCCTTTTTTGGTTTGGTATGAAACATTTGGATTTTATTGTTTCATGCACTTGGAGGAAAAAAAAAATTTTTAAACCCAGAAAAAAATGAAGAAGTAAACAATTTCTCTCTCAAAAGACAGACAACTTCCAACAGTTCACTTTCAGTATCTGCAAAGTCTACACTCTAATCAATGTATCAATTATATGACTTAGATGAGAAATTTGTCTGATTTAACAAAAATAAAAAAAGTGGCTGAATTCTAATTCAGCTTCATTGATTATTTTTACAAGTCTCCGCGTGTAGAGATTTGCTATTACCTACCTTTCACATGAGATGAGGAAAAAAGGAGTAAAGAATGTCAAAAGTTTAAATTATTCATAAGAATTAAATCTTCCATTACACTCCATATTCTGGTTAAAATCACAAGCAGTAATCCAAGCTTCTCATTTAAAATGAAAGTTTAAACAAGAGATTGACTCACCTTCTGCTGACAGCCCCTGTATATTAACTCCTTTAGCAGCCAAGAAACTCAGGCATGCATCTATGTTTTCAATCTATTCAGGAACAACAAAAAAAGAGACAAAAAAGAATATGCATTGTAATAAATGTTTGCTTTAATCTCCCACCATATTTTATTGGACTCAGCCTTTGTATCACATAAAAAGTCCCTTTGCGTATAACACAGAAATCATAACAATATGAAAACACCTAAGTTGCTGAGATCTTTAAATGGTCAAATATTATGTTGATCAAGACTCTGTTACTTGTACTTGCATGAAATAAGTTATTTAATACTCTAACCATGAAAGATGATCACTACATATCTTACTAAAGGGTCAACAATATTATGCCAGGATTTTTAACCTACAGTAAGTATAACAAATATGAAACTGAAAATAAACGTGGAGGCCACATTTGCTTGAGAAGGCAGACTACCACTTGTTCTTAAGCTGACAGCTGGCAAAATTTCCAGCCACAAAAGCAGTCAAATATAAGAACTGTAACTGGAAACCCCAGTTGGAATCCAAAAAATGTTTACTCACAAAATTCTCCGGATGTCAGAAATGACAGACAACTGTGGTTTCTCGCTATGGGGCAAATCTTGCCCTTCAGAGAGCGGGTACAACTGTGCTAAAGTGCATGGGATAAAATGGATTTTGGCCAGACAGGGCCTGCACAACATTTCTGAATGATAATGACAACAACTGCTATATACAGGCTGGATTCAAATCCTACTTCACAAAGTCAACTCCAAGAATGGTGGAGGAGTTAGGCATTTTATCCCTGTGTCTCAATATCCCAACAGAGATTTAGTGGTAGCTTCATGCCTAGTTTCCCACTAACCTACTACCAAAGCTTTGCTTTCGTACTCAGTAGAAACAGAGCTGTCAGCCTCCCCAGACCAAAGCACTTTCCTGCAGGAGTCGAAGCACAGGAACCCCGGGAACTTGCAAGCCACAGAACTCTAGGAAACATCATGTGTTACGCAGCTGCACAGAAACCCTCTGGATAATAAATACCCCGGAGCACTTTTTGCTTTTGCCACGATAATCAGTAAGTGATTAAAAAAAAAAAAAAGACTATTCATGTTTGAACAACTTGCAAACGTTAACTCCCTAAACACCCCAATCAAACACTACTTCCATTTTATAGAGGTAGACCAATCTCCACACCTGCTACCATGTAATACTTTTCCTTCTTCTAAGCTTGGAGAGATCAAAAAGGAACATGAAAGATACATTTTCTACGTCTGCTTCAGCTCCTGCCTACTCCCAAAAATATAACAATGAGGGATGCATGGAGTTCTGGAGGCTGAGCTCCCACCTCCCAGCACCTGGCCCACATTTCCTGCCCTTCTCAGTCTGAGAAAAATGTATGAGTGAGAGCTGTTAGAAAATCTCCAGCATGGATTTCTCTCAAGTTAGCTTCATTTATTGTCAATAAAAATTGTTGATAATAATGAAAAAATATTCTCTTCTATTAGGCCAAAAAGTAATTAGGATTATATAACTGGGATTTCAATTATAAACATTGCGATATATTTCAAAATTCCTACCAATCTAACTACACCTTGAGAATAATTCCCAAAAATAGATATATGCCAAAGAATAGACTCTCTATAATGTTCAGATCTTAACATTTGCAACAGGGTGCAGTCCAAGGGTTCATTCATCCACAGCACATGGTACCGCAAGCCAACTTACATCACTCACTTTCCTCAGTGTTCAATAACCCTTTCAAGTTTTCAACAAAGCCCTTTTATTGAGGTGATTAGTGACTTTGCTGGAAAGTCAAAGGTCACCTTTTCAAGAATAAACACCAAATAAAAGCACTATTCCCCTATCTGTTTCTACCACCTGTACTTACAGGTGGTAAGTCTTTACTGTTCCAGGTAAACTTCCAGTATTCCACAAATCTGGGTAATTTTCTTCTTTCATTAATATTTATGTAGTACCATCTGTGATACTAAGAGTTATATGGCAGAATGATAGGAAAATGAGTAATTAGTTCATTTTGAAGGAAAAATAGAGCTCAGTAAGGAGAAAAGAAAGAAACAAGGGGAAATTAAGAAAGAAAGTGAGATGCAGACTGCAGGTCTATAACTGAACTTATTAAAATCTAGAGCTGGTAGAAATTCAAAGTGCTTCTCATATGATACCTAGCTGGTGTCCTGCATAGAAAATGATTTGCGATTGCCCTCCAGTGCCGGCGGAAAAGGGCTTACACTCCACTTGGCACTCTGTAGTCTCAAAGAAGAAAAGGTACTGAATACTCTAACAAGGAGCTATCTTCCACCTGCCAGAGATGCTAAGAATAAAAACAAGGATGCTTGAGGGAAGCAATCACTGATTTTTCATATTGTAAAAACTCAAGGTAAGAAAGCTATTAAAATTTTGTTAGGTCAAATAGCTTATTGAGTGAACAACACTTTCTGGCTTGAATGAAAAACCCTGACTTTGGTTTACCACCTTATCTTAAGGATTTGTCCAATGCATCAGAAATTATGTTGATTATTTAAATAGAAGAGACTCCAACAGTGCAACATTTAATGAATTTTGCCTATCAAAGCTCCAAGGAAGGAGCCTGTCTCTAGCTCCTGCTGTATCAATACTAACCTAACAACTGTCAATAATCACCAAATACTATTTTACGCAGAAAGATGCGCATAAAGTGATGGAGATGGTTAGCTGTCTTTAAGTAAAAGCACGTAATAAGAGCACTTAGATATATAAACATCTAGGATAAAAGCAAAATTCCTGGCTAGATCTTAGCTTAGCAAAGATCTAATGACCCTGCATTGTGCTGACTTCTGACACGAAGTACAGCTGCCTCCTTGAAATTACATTATTCAGCAGCAAGCTTTCACTGAGACTCAGAGTGCCCTTTCTGGGCCAAGTCCACACATTGTTTAAGCCCTTTAAGCAGACGTGAAGAGACTGCAGATTTGCCAAAGGGGAGCATATATTTTATTTTTCACTGTGAGCTACGACTGTTTTTTGGCTGACAATTCTGATTTCTCATTTGCTCTGCCAGCAACGCTTAACACAGTAGAAGCGAAGCAGGAAAGATGGCAGTCTCATGTCTCTTATTTCCTTCCTGCCCAAAATAGGGGGAAGTTGCATAAAGGGAGAAAAATGTAGAGACAGGTATTTGCAGTGATTGTCTTACTCAAGCACGTTACAGAGTGTCCAAAACTGAGCAATTCCTTGTTACATTCCCTCCCCAAAAGCATCAAAAACAATAATTGCAACTGTGAAACGCTGCATACAAAGTGTTTGCGGTACAGTTAACTATTAAAGTGCATATCAGTTTTATTCCATATAAGACAGTTATTTGTTCTGAAATATCCCTAAACTAAACACCAGTTTGAGGGCTGCTGACTCCAAATCCCACAGCGCCTGCCCACCTACAGGAACTCTTCCTCCTCTATCTCGGCCGTCGCCAGAGGAAACACTCCCACTAGAAAGGGTTACAAATAGGAAACTGGGAAACTCAGGAAACCTACCCACAGTTTGGGACAATCCTCCCTCAGTGTTTTTAACTGACACTTTAAAACAAAAAAAAAAAGGTTAGATTTGGGTGCCCCCCTCCCCCCCACACTGTTTAAGCTCTGCTGTTCCATTTGCTACATACAACGGTTTAAGGAAAAAGGTAGTTCAGACTGATAAAATGAAGTAGTTTCACCTTAGCTCCTCAGTGACTATCTTTTCCTAAATTCAGTCAAGGCTGGTGCTGTCACTTAAGAAAAGGAAGCATTCTTTATCCAGATTTGTCATTTCTCTATGATATGTCAACAAGAGAGCCTTCTTTTAATTAGAACCGGGTATGGCAAAATAAAAAACCCATAGAATTAAATTTCTGGTCAGACATAAAAGGTTTACTTTCATGACTGCCTTTCTCATATGCACAGATGCAAAATGAACAGTCAGCTACCAGAAAGCTTCCCGTTGATGCGCATCTCTAGGTGGCATTTGCTACCTGGCAAGGTGGGAGCATCACGGCTAGAGATGTTGCATATGCACAAATTTCAAGTACCAGAACAGTCTGTGGAAGCAGTACTTGCTTTGCTATATGAGTCTGACCACCTGTCTCCTGCTGGAAAAGCAGGATTAAGAGCTAGTGATCCTGTATATCGCTTTTTATTCACTGATTTCCATGTGCCTTATAAAGGTGGATAAACAGCAGGATTCCTGTCAGACCTAGACACTCCTCAGTCCTTCCTCCCTTCTACACATATGGAACTCACGTACATACAAATTTAACAGCTTTAGTGAATTCCTCCTATATACTGATCAAAATACATTTATTTCATTCTCATTTCACTAATACCTTCCCAGGTACATCACTTAGCTATTCCTCTGCTCTCAAATGTACCTTGCAGTAATTACGTATTTCTGGCAACACTGGCGCAATGACCACAGACGATTCAGTTTCTATTCTCGTCCTGGCTAGAAGGAAAAGGAGCTTGGAAACATGCACTGGCCTGTATAAGCAGAGTAAGGCATATCAGAAACAAACAAATAAAAAATCCCCCAAAAATAAAACAAACATCCCCCCTCCTCAACATGCAAATAGAAACCCATACATGCGCACCGATATACGTTGAACCTTGGCTATATCTGACAAAGACTTGACCATGGAACTATCTACAGCCAAAGCCCTACGTTCAGCTCTGCCAAGACAAACAGAGCAGGGTAAATTATAAACAGTGCTCTCCCTGTGACAGATCCAGATGTTGTTCTCAAAGAAAAATCCAAATTAAACTTATCACTGTAGGTGCCTTCTCTTAGAAACCATGGGAAGTTTCTGATCATTCTCATAACTATGAAAAGCATCGTTATTATGGTGCAAGATCTCTACTCCCAACTTTTACAGTAACTTTACAGCTGAGTTTTTATGAGCTTACCCAGAAAAATTACTACCTATACTGAAACCAGTACCTTCCTTTTGACTTAAGAGTCCATGTTCTGTCCAGTAGATTAGTTTCCAAACAAGAAAAGTATTGATTTCATGTGATTTCTTTTCTAAGTTGTACAAACTCTTATAGAACATT